AAAAAAAAGAGTTTTGGTTTCAGAACTCATGTTTCTGTGGATATTGTTCTTCGTAGTAACAGCTCAGAGAGGTAGCACACCGGCTCATGGCCTTTGCTGACTAGTGGAAGAAGATAGATGTTAACCAAATAGCCACACAAGCTAAACTTGCCAGAGGGATGAACACTACACAGAAGTGCCCAGTGATGTGAAGCCGATGATAATGTGGTCAAAGACAGGGAAGGTTTCTTGAGGGAGGTGACAGAAGAGCTGAGACTTAAAGTCCCATTAGTTGCCTAGGGGAATAATGCAGACAGAAGTTCCAGGCAGAATGCAGAGTGAAGCTGAGAGAAGATGACTGATCTGAAGGCTAAATGGTCAGCAGGGCGAGAGCAGACAAGGAGGCCGAGGTAGACAGGGACCAGGCCCTGCAAGGACTTATAGTCAGAGTAGGCAGGGGACGGGGAATGGGAAGTCAGTGTGTGATGAGAGAGGGTGTGCCTGAGCGTGCATGTCCATGACATAATCAGATGGGTGATTTGCAAAAGGATGACTTTTACTCTGACTGCTGGATCTGATGGAGCAGCTCACGTTCAGCTCAGCTTTCATTTATAGAGAAGCTCTTGATAGAGTGATCAAACCCTGTCCAAGGCACTGGGCAGAATGGAGAAGGCACAGTCCTGTCTTTGAGGAGCAATAGTTTGAGTCAACGCAGAAGGTGGAGAAGTATACGAGTCCCCCCAAGGAGAATACATGAACGGCTGGTGCCAAAACAACACACTTCATGTTGGTGAGTCCGTGGAGTCAGTGAACCCTCTTATACCGTGGACCAGAATGGAAAACAGCACAGTCACCTTGGAAAGCTGTCTGGCAGTGCCTTAAGAGGCGAAACACAGTTACCACAGGCCCAGAAACCACACTCTAAAGTGCATACCCTCCTGATATGAAAGCCCATGTCCATTCAGGAAACAGCACCTGAATGTTTATCGCATCATTCATAACAGCGAAGAGAGAAAAAAAAAATAACCCAAATGCCTGTCAACTGGTGAACGGAGAATAAAATATAATCTACCCATAGAAAAAACACAAGCCCCCTACTGTGGAGTCCGTTCAGACTGACAGCCACCCTCCCGCAGGTCCCCAAGGCTGTACAGAGCAGGGGAGGAGACAGCCCATCTTTCTCCTGTGAAACCACAGTGGAGGTCCATCTTTGGACCAGCACTGCAGCTCACAGTGGATGACGCCAACCCAGCTAGACAGTGGATTATTATTTTGCCGTAAAAAGGAATGAAGTACTGATATGTCTGCAACACAGATGAATCTGGGAAACACTGAATGAAAGAAGCCCATCACAAGAGGCCATATACCGTATGACTCCATTTCCACGAAATATTCCAAACAGGCAATTCTATGAGGCAGAAAACAGGCAAGTGGCTACCTAGAGCTGTGGGTGGTCAGAGCATAATGACTAATGGGGGCAGAGTTCTCTTATTTGGGTGATAAAAATGCTCTAAAATGGTTTTTCTTTAAATCAGTTTGCTTTTTATTTATATCAATACTGTAAATATAAAACCAGAGGAACTTGTTATAAATAGGAGACAATCATCCTCCTCCAAAATAAAGAAATAAAAATTGACTGCTATTAAATTCCAGTTAGGTCCTGCTGCCTGCCAGAGGTTATAAGCTTATTTGGCCTATTTTCAAAAAGCAGCTTTCCAGGCTCCAGGGGTATTAAAACACACTATACCCAGCAATGAATGAATGGAAATCCAAAATCTCTGTAAATGTTCATTATTTT